TTCCGTCGTTTTCTCTCCGATCATCCGACGCGGGATACCTGCGTCGTGATATTTTTTCGCGATACAAACGCTTCGTCATGTTACGCTTCAAATCTGTTTTCGTGTCTGTTCGCAAATCCAACAATTTATAAGATACAATTTTTACTCGATCGTTAAATTAAGATGATGAAAGTTCGAAATCACGGGGAATTTCTTCGTGTTTTTTTTTTTTTTCGAAAACATTTTTCTCGAAAAATAGACCTTGAAATGGATGAAAGAAAATTGTTGTACGAGTTCGTATCTGGCACTCATATGGCACAGTACTGTAAATACGGTATAAATGCGAGATTATTTGTCGTCTCGAGGAGAATGATCAAGACGAGGAGAGATCGTGGAAGGACAGATATACGTGAACCGGTTAACGTTGGCAAATTGTTGTTTAGAATATGAATGAAGGGTGTGGCCTGCTTCGGCTTTGACACCCGAATCTACATTTCTAATGCACTCGTGCGCCCGTTTCTTCGACTTGATCCTAGATTACGCGGAATATCAAACGCGTGACCCATTCACGAGTTTCTCTCCACGAGATCGAGATCGACGGAGCATCGCGAATCACGTACGAGGAAGGATCTCCCTCCTCGCTTCTTCGATTGAAATGGAATTACTTTAAAAAAAAGAAAAAAAGGAAAAAAAAAAGAAAGAACGCATACGTTATTCGAACATGCGTTATCGAGGGGGAAACGATAACTGTACAATACGTACGTCGATGGATGAGGAAACATGAGGTTGACTTCAAGGTGTCCCTGTCAAAAATGTTTTTGACATTTCTCTTAAAGTTTACAAGTAACCTCATTTCACTATAGCACGATTGGCAATTTTGATATAAAAATCGCGGAGTTGGCAAAGTTTTATCCGCTTAATCATGGTTGCCCAACGTAATTCACGAAATCGGAAGTATTTAACTTCGCCGTGATTGGGTCTGGTTATGGCTTATGACGAAGAATGGCTCTCAAGATTGTTTAAGCGAAAATGCAAAAGACAACTTCCGATGGCGAGGTGCCACGACACGAAGTGTAGCATTAACAATGAAGCCAGTAGAAATGATGTGAATAGATGTCACGCCGACAACGTTTCGAGGTATGTATTATCCACGTTTAAATCCATCTTTTTGAATAGGTTATATTATTTTAAACCGATTTATTTCTATTCGTTTCCATTAATGAAAATACCACGTCGCTCGATATAATCTGCTTTACGATAAATATCTTTATCGGACGAAACAATGCTCGTTTTTATTTATTCGAATAACGGAAAATCAACGCGATACACACGCTCCACGAGTAAACCTAAAATTATCAAATCGAATCATTATGGTGTTAATCAAATCGTAAAAAATTCCCCCATTTTTTCGATCCTGTATCGCGCGTGTATTTAATAATCCGCGTGTATTTTTCATTTTAAATATAAAATCTACGTTTGTAAATTTCGACACACGCGTGGATACATAGTACATATTCGTTCAAATCGTTTTAATATCCTCGCGTTTCGATCAATTATTACGATATTTTCGAATGATTTCTCGTCGATTTTAAAGAGGAATTTACACCACAAGACAAAAATGCGGTGAAATAACGATGCTTGAACGGATAAAAAAAAAGGGGGAAAGATTGGGCGCGAATCTAGGGGAGGCAGGCAGCCCGGTGGACCGAAGTTTGAACGAAAGCGCCTTTTCGAAAATCGATAGAGAGAAGTTCGTGAGGCGTCGACTACGCTCGTGAAAGTTCGCACGGCCACTAATCAATCCGCGGGAGGTTTCGTGTTTATCAACAAGTGCCGCATACACCTGGCCTTGTTCGCGTCAGCTTCCGTGACGGGTTCGTTCGGGGATCGTCACCACGATTCGGGTGACAACCCCTTTCGTCATCGGTGCTCGTCTCGAATCGTGTGTCGAAGTATGACGAGGTTAACCGTCCTGCTCTCGCGCAGCCATCGCTTCGCCGCGTGACAAACCGTGCGATTGTTCTCGTTGTCGTCGTCGTCGTCGTCGTCATCGAAGGTTATCCGCCTCCTCCTCCTCCGATATTTCCGCCTCCTCTCCTCCTCTCCTCGCTTTTCGCCACCATTTTCTCCATTTTCTCGCTCCCGTGAGTTCATTGGAATTATTCGACTATTAATAACGCCGCGATCGTCGTGTCGTTGCACGATGGTGATTCTTGTTTTTCGCGAGATTTTCCTGAAGTTGGAGAACGAACAGTGGTGATTATGAATTTTGGGGAATTTTTCAATGGTGATTTTTTTCTTATATTCTCGTGATCAGATCATTGTCGTTGTGAAGGAAATAAATTGATTGGAAAGAGGTTAAGAGTTAGAGTTGGGCCGCGAAATGACGATAATTAAACGAAGGACATTATCAAGAGTCGCTCTGTTTCTTTGTTCTTTTTTTTTTATCGTTTTTATTTATTGATATTGTTTTTCATTCCAAGTAATTGCTGTTAAATTTTACCGGATAATGTTTTTTTTCTTCTTCTTTTTTTCGAATCTCGACAATCACGTTTTATTAATATTTATAATGATTTCATTTGTATGCCGATTCATTTAAGAATATATTTCGGAATTGTCTTTGAAAATTTCTTCATATTTAAACGTGTTCATGTCATTTTAAACATTATTTTCATGAAAAGAGGAATAACTCGCCCGTTTATTATAATTTAGCGTCCAAAGATTTCCATTGGATTGATGATCTCATATAAAACGACTATGAAACGACGTTTTCCATCTTTTGGCAAACGGATTTCGATGTTGCCATCTTTATAATAATCCACGCTCTTTCGACATATGTTTGCGCGTTGAAATCCGTCAATTTCGAAACAAGTTCTCATATTTTAAAACGAAACATAATCTCCTTAAAATCTAAAGAGAAAGAGAGAGAAATTCTCTTTCCCAATCGAGCGAGTTAAACATGGTCAGTGAATTTTTTATTCTCAATTTCTCATGGATTATTATACAAACGTACAACGCGTTGTGAAAGTGAAGTGAATCGTCGAGTCTCAAACGATATATAATATATACGCTTGAAAATTGATTAAAATTAAAAATTATTGAATTAAAAAGTTACATTTGACGAGTGTGCACAAATTAGACGTGGATACGGTGTTTTTCTTCTTCCGTGACACGCGTACTTTTGTACTTTCGAGTGACGAGGTTTCGCGATGCATCGATTAATGATCGAGGGATGCGATCGAGGAGGGTGGGATGGAAAATGTGGGAAAAGGGGGACGGTTTTCGGAAAGCGGCCGTCACTATAAATAGAGGCGCCTCATGCGTGCGTGCTATGCTTTTAAACATAGTTTTGGCAGCGCGAAACGTCAAACCGCCTCGGAGTGGCAAAGCGCGTGGATCGTTTCGCGAAATTCAAGCATTGGCCGGGCATTCTCTGCAATATTTGTCCCGATCCAAACCGACCGTGACATCTTTCAAAGTATCCAGGAATAAAATGTGACACCGTGTGTGTGATCGCAATAAAAAGAAAAGGGGGGAAAAAAAAAAAAAAAAAAAAAAAAAAA